CAATATATATATATATATATATATATATATATTGCATCTCGATAATAAGTACAAATTATTTTAGTTACTATTCCTGAATACTTTATTACGTAATTAACATAAGGTAAAGAACTGGGAAATTTCGATTGGCTTTTTTTACGTTAAAAACTATTACATGTCTTTCTTCTCTTAAATATTTTGACATATAAATCTCATTGCTCAGTTTAAACTAACGCAATAAACCACAAAGGCATTTACGCTTTCATATAAAACAGAAACTGTAAATAGGTCTTCTAAAATTGCTTTATTTGAGATATTTCGAGATATTAATCTAAACCACATTTTCACAGAGATAAAAACAGAAATAAATTCAAATTCGTTCTTTTGATTAAAATATTACAAAAGTCTCTCCTTAATTAAAAGTTCGATTTTTCCACTAATCTCTTAGATTATTCTCGAGCGTCATGTTTCTTAAAATAAGTCATGTAATGACTATATGATTTAAAAAGTTTTACAGATAATAAGTTATTTAACACGATTCTTTCACTTTTTCAAGAACTTCAGCCGTTATCGCACCAGTAAAATAGAGGGCGCTCAGTTCATGCCTTTACTAACACAACAGATATTATTCTTTGGTATTTTAGACTATGTGACAGTACAACTCTATGTCTCCATTTTTTCTTTAGAAGAAATGATATAAACAGCGGCTCAACTTACTTTTTCTGTGTTTTAACACAAACAGGCTTAGGAACTCTAATTATATGACACGACCTGTTGTTGTTTTTTTTCTTTGCCACCTCTTGCCGATTCTTGTAGATCTTCTCTTGCAAAGGGTTAAAGAAAATGTCAGAAGTGACAAATATCGTGACATCACTAATACAGCTCAATGACGGTTATCAAGGGATGGGTCTAACTGTTGTGGACGTACAAGCAGAAAATGTAATATTATTCATCTCCATTCTACTTGCCGTCAGTTTTCATTATTATAGCATCAGTTGTAATGATCTGAAGTCCATTACAAACATGTTTAGTTATAGCATCAGTTGAAACGATTTGAAGTCCATTACAAACATGTTTAGTAATTCATTGAAACATTACAGAAATTTCTATATTTTATATTACGATCGAAATTCACGTTCTGTTCTTTCTTTAAATGGTAGTATGCTCATATTCTGATTAAGAATCGCTTTTCTTAGCTTACTAACAAGTCATTACAATATTCTAAAATGGAATTATCTCTGGAAATGGATAATGACACTGGTAGAAACTGAAAATAGGCACAATATCACATTCGTTTAGACAGTGGTTAGTAACACTTACAATGTTTTTTATTCGACTGGAAGACCTTCTAGTATTTGTTCCAATATATCTCTAGTTATACCACGGACACGTGAACTCATATACCACTAGCGAGGTGTTCAATAAATGTAGTTTGTCTTTAATGCCTCGCTGGTGATATGTGAGTTTGTTTAAAGAACACATTTTAACTGAACTTGCGAATATACCTGTTCTACAATTTTCGTCTCAATTATTTATGAAATACTGAATAAGTACGGTGTGTCTAAAGTAAGAGTTTTCTTCGAGAAAGCTAACATAACATCAGATGAGTATTTAGTTTTTCACTTTCATGTATCATCCTGAACCACGATAGTGGTTCACTTTAGGAATTTCCACAAAACTCTAATAGAACATTCGGGTAAAAACTACAACAATTATTAATTTTAATGGAGTCAAAATAAGGATTTGTAGCTTGAGAAGATAATATAGACAGTATTTCCAGCCTTGTTTGTTTACTGTTGTTAGAGTTCTTAGATGTAGGTTTGAAAATATAATCTTTGCATTTTGATTCAACTTGTTTCTGTACCCTTTTGACGATTACTATTCCCCCTTTTTAAATTAACAATCGTTACTATTTCGTTACTTATCGTTACTTGTTCTATTTAGAAGCGACAACGGAAAATAACTTATGATAACTATTTTGTTAATATTCTTAACTTCTGCTTCAAAACGGTTTTGATTTCCTGATATTTTAAACTCTCTGTATGGCAGGGTTTTAACCAGATTTTCTTTAAAGATTGAAGAAGTGAAATTTTCAAAATGTGAATAAAATCCAGTGAAAGTGGGTTTATGGTACATTTTAGTGGTAAGTATACCCTGGTTTTCTAAGCAAACTTAAAACACGTTACGCCTCATTTGTTTCCACTTATATGATCTTAGAAACGTTTTTCCTGGACTTGAATTATTAATGACAAAAAAAAATTGAAATCGTGACATGTTATTACAAATAGTATAACTACAAACATTACAAATTTGTATTAGGTTACAGTGTAACATACTTGACAAAATTAACTGATTCCTAACTATCTTATATTTCACAAAGTATTACCTAAATTAGCAAACTTTACAGAACAGATACATGTACTGACTAAACTTATACTCTAGGGTTTCCTGAAATATTAATCAAGCGTGTTTACTAACATTATGAGTTGATAAGACTATTAACAAATATTCAGTTACTTGCATGATTGCACTTTGGAAAAAAGATATATATATATTTATATTGTGACAAATAACACCAGTTTTACTTCCCCTGCTTCATGTAAACAAAGTGTTTACCACTCTTTATAGTTATAGCTGAAAGCAAAACTGTTCAAAGTCTTAGAGTTAAAATGATGATATAAAATATGATATTAAACAATTTCTGGCTTAGTTTCATCAAAAGTAGTTGATAAAGGTCAAGGTAGTCGTACGTTAATGCACGATTTATTTCATCATGCCACTTGTGTTTTGAAAGTGGAAAGTCGTACATTCTGGTTTATGCTGGAACATAATGGTTTATGCAAGTGAATGTGGTGTAAATTTTAACTTAGGGACAACAAGAGTTTTGATATATTTTTGAATTCATTCACATTTGATGCAGAATTTGTTCCTCAACGAGATTTATCGTCAAAAACCGCACAGTTTTTATGCCCCGTTGTTTAGGACTCTTCTTCTTTTCTTTGCTTTTTTAAATTTTAATTGTTGTTAAGCCCGTGTACAAAAGTAGATTCATCTCAAATTCGTAAAAGAGGAAACGTAGAGAGAAAAGCAAAATGACGGTGATTAATTCAATTTCCTATACATTATAATACATAAGAAAATTCTAAAAATTTATATTTTTAGAAATTAGGAGAAATATTATTGGGTTTTGCCTGCTAAATACTAGAAAAGCTTACTCGATTTGCTTATAATGATTTTGGGAGTTGAAGATTTATATGGATAACCTTACCTGTACTGGTAAAACTTTCCTCAACTAATATAACATTAACTTATTGAAAAGTAATGAGCTTAAACATTTCAGTGTGGACAAGCAAAGAGGGTTGTTTTATTTGTTGTTTTCTTTTTACTCATATTTTCTAATTTTGGTTGATTGAAAAGTACAGTATCATAGCTTTCAAAAAGTTTGTGGAGTAATGACTGCCAAAATAACTGTTATTTACACCTACAATTCTAATCCTTACTACTCGAACGGAATATGTAAATCTCAAAATTGTTTAGCGTCTATCGTATACTGAAAACAAAAATTGGCACATGAATTTTGCTCTCGTAATAATGATTGCGTTTAATAGAAACAGTAAACTAAACGGTGCGTTTTGTTACAATTTCAGCTGCCTTATCACGCCGTTCTAGAAAACAAAATAAAAAAACATTCCTTCCAATCTGATCTGGAAATCGGCATTTTAAAACCTTATTTTGAATTACCACTTTTTTAACCCTTGAATGTTATTTAATATTTCTACTCCTCCTTCACCCTGGAAGCCCTTGTGTTTTTCTACGATATTTTGGCACGAATAAGAGTATCTCAAAGGATTATTTGATGGTGAATTGAAAGAAATGAAGATTCCAAAGTGCCCCAGAGGCTATATCATTTACAATAAAAATCCGCTTATTGTATTTCCATCAAGCTAAGCCATTGTCTATATTACTGGATGGTGGGTCATCATTTCCTTTTGTTTTTAATATTTGTAGTTTTTCCTAAGTTGGCCTTAATGCAAGACATAAAAAAAGAACTATACAGTCTAAAGGGTTTTGCTTATAAAGTAACTAAATTGTTTAAACTCTAATTATAGATTTAGGAGACCCAGCACAGACCCTTTGAGTAGGCAAAGAATGCAGAGACATTTTAAAGGCGCACAATACAACACTCTAAACGCCAATGTGGTCTCAACGACACAAGTTCAAAATCAGTATTTAGATACATAGAACTCTGGCGTAATAAGCGAATGTCGTGAAAAACCCACAATAGTTCTTGCTAGATCTTTGACGTCATTGCAGGATTTCCTTTACTTTTCGTTTCTTGCCGAGGTCACAGTACCATCAACCAGAGGGTAATCAACAACAGAGGAGAAAGTGTGGAAACTTTCCATGGGTTCAAACCTATAAATACAAGATAAAAACAAACAAAAATTGTTTAGTAGTTACTCACTACTGAGTTCCACTTCAACATTTTGGCGTTATTTTAACTTTCCTTGAATTATCCTGAAAATACGTGCTTTCATCGTTCATTCAACCCGATTTTGATAATAATATTTTGGGATTTTTTATTTGCTAGTTACTCGTCTTCATTCCGTTTTCTAAGCCAAAAGAATATTAAACTATATTAACCCAATTGTTTAGGATCAAGAGTTAAATAAACACTTAGACTAAAGCTGAGTTAAACATCTCTTTTAATTGATCAGTCTGGTCAACAATTAAGATAAAAATAAGCAAATTTATCACTCAGATCAATTGTTTAAAGTTGGCTTCGTTTTGACTAATCAGTCAGGCTAACAGTTAATGTAAGACTTTTTGTTGATTGATCACTCGAGTTAAAATTATTTTAAGTCTTTTTGTTGGTTTACTAGCCGCATCCGTAATTATTATAAACCATTGTGTTGAATAACCAGCCACATGGACGGTAAGAATGTCTCTCTATTGGTTGAAAGAGTTGTAATGTACAATGTGATAGTTTATTAATTAACACTTATATTTACTTATAAAGTACCAAGTTACTTTATTAGGAAGAAGTTCATGATACCTTTTTAAAAAACAAAGTATCTATATGCTCTGAAATATTCACATATTCTACAATTATACAACGTTTATGACATTGCCTCACATGAAGTATTATTCGTGATTATAATGAAGACTAATCATGGTAGATAAAATGAAATATACACCTTTAAGATTATCTAAGAACTAAAAAAACAAGAGAGTTGAGTTTTCCTTGCTCCTAGATCAGTATATTTAAAGTGGTGGTATAATAAGGCAAGTAAGTTTTGAACACTTGTGGCGCTATGTTATTTTGCTATAAATATTATTGTTATTTTCATAAACATAAGTTTGTGTGGTTGGTTATTCTCAAGTCCAAATCTACACAATGGGCTATCTTTGCTCTTCCAACCACGAGTACCAAAACCCACTTTTCAGCGTTGTAATTCTGCAGACTTACCAATGAGCCCCTAGGTGGCAATTAACTTAATTGTTTGTTTGTAATTAAGCACAAAGCTACACGATGGGCTATATATGCTCTGCCCACCATGGGTATCGAAATCCGGTTTCTAGCGTTCTAAGTCCGCAGACATACCGCTGTGCCACTGGGGAGCAGTAAAACTTAACGATGTAAAGTTTGAAATCATACCATTTTAACACCAAAAAATATATGATTTTGTTTCTTATCGGTTTCGTTGTACGATTTCGTCAAAGGAGTCCACTACACACTCACAATATTAAAAGCAAACGAAAAAATTAACATAGATCTTTTTTATATCGGAAAAAAGGGGTAACAATGATAACATTCCTTACGGATAATGTGCACGTTTAAAGATAACCATGTAGTATCTTACTATTTAGACTTGAAGTATAGGAGAAAGACATAATTACAGCACACTGCATATGCTACAAATCACTTTTAAATTTTTTGACACAAAAATCTCCACCAAAGTTACCATTTTGTATCATGTCTAGGATTAAAAAAGAAAATGATTTTTCAAAATATTAATACCTTATAATCTATGTCTGTTTACTTAATAAGAAACAGACAAACTTAATTACGTTCCCATTTTTTTGGTCTGAAAGACAAATTTTTGTCACGGGTTGCAATATCTCAAGATACAACGTAAACAAATGAAATTTGAAAGGGATAGGGCAACAACGGATGTTATTTTAGGTTAAATGTACATGTGTGTATTGATATAGCGTTCAACATTCTTTCAGATATACTGTGTACGTTAGTTTACGTGTACTGTAACTTCTTGAGCCGCCTGATCAATACAGAACGAATATTACGTTTCTCTACACAACTTTATATAGCAAGTTTTATAACCGTGCTGCCATTTCTTAGATTGCATAAAAGCAGAAAACATAACTTGACCCTTTTTACTTCTTTCTGACTTGCCTAGTTTTCGATGCTAGTAGAAAATCCAGCTTTTCGGTAACCTTACTTTAGCCATGTAACAATATTTTAAGATTAAAAACTTTTCACAAGAGGCTAATTTTTTTTGCCGTTTTATTAATCAACTTATGTTTATCTAATTGGATAAATTTTGTGCTTATAGACAAAAATATTTTTAATTATAAAATAGTACAGTTTAAAAATGTATATAATTTAGTCAACCATCCTTATTTTCTTCATAAAATGTTTCCATCAGTTCATAAAAATTTAAATTAATACTTAAAGTGATTAATTAAACTTTAAAAAAATTTAATTGGTCCATCAACTAAATACTATGAACTATAATAATCAAACCCATAAAAAGCACGAGGATTGTTTAGTCATTTGTAGTTTTATCAAGAGTATCATTCTGAAAGAGTTAAAATATTGTAAACGAACATAACAAAAGTAAGAGTTACTTATTCAAGATATAGTAATATCAGATGTGTAACGAGACTATATACATTGTTTTCATATGGGTATCGATTTTCTTTCTCTGATTCAATATTACTCTTGCTGTAGCGAGATTCAATTACTTAAACATGGAAATCAATACTTACTTGCAACTCCGGAAATCCTTTTGACAGTAAGAGGGTCTGAAATTCGAAAATACAAGCAATGTTTTAAATGAAAGATGATAGGTTATTTTGAATTTTCGTGTTTAAATTACCATTTCTACGATCGTAGTAATAGCTTTTGGATCGATAAAGACTAAGATGTACAATTCGCAAACTTGTATTTTAAAGCTTCATAAATACTACTTACTTCATGAATACTACTTAATTTATAAATACTACTTAATTCATAAATACTACTTAATTCATGAATACTAAATAATTCATAAATACTACTTAATTCATAAATACTACTTAATTCATGAATACTAAATAATTCATAAATACTACTTAATTCATAAATACTACTTATTTCATGAATACTACTTAATTCATAAATACTACTTATTTCATGAATACTACTTAATTCATAAATACTACTTAATTCATGAATAGTACTTAATTCATGAATACTACTTAATTCATGAATACTACTTAATTCATAAATACTACTTAATTCATGAATACTACTTAATTCCGAACCTTTAAAATCGAGTGAGCTGCTATTCATTAAACAAAATACATCTGTACAGGGAAACATTTTTTTATAATATAAACAATGAAACTAGATTTTACAATTACAGTTATGATAAACCAAAACGTAAATGGGTATTAATGAGATATCCAGCTATCCATATTGACAGAAAATAAAAATGATAAGTTAATGTCGAAATCAATATATTATATTTATAGCAATCCTTGTTTAACGACTATACACTGCGTTTCCAAAATAATGTAGTAATTTTTATGATTATTATAAAATAGTGAAAGATATTTGATTTGGTTTAGCTCCCTGTAATTTCTATAATTTAGGGCCTTTTTCAGGACAGTCTATGTAAATAATCTTCCAACAACTGATATTCCTCACGCAAGTTTACACAATTGGATTCGTAACACTACACATACACTTTACAGAAATGGTGTGATGAAACTCGTTGATTGGAGGACGAAACGCGTCATACTTAACACATACTGTGTTGAGAAATGACGTCTGATTTTCTACATCCTCAACACCATTGATGCATGTTTATCTGTTGTAATTTGATACGGTTGGTCAAAAGGAAATATGTTTTTCTTTGATCACCCCCCTGTACAATTGCTAGGCATTAAAAATTAGATTTACTTAACGCTAAATCCATAAATATTTTAAATATCATTTAAAAAAATCATTCCACTCCACCTAATGAGAGTATAAACATAGTTTCCTATGATAGTAACATTTAATCCAAAATAGGATAAAATTAATAAGCAGTTTGGAGCTTGTAATTATTCACTGACATATTACTAAGAAAACTTTGACATCAGGTATTTAATATTTTCAACTCGAACTGCCCCTTATGCGATGCATTAGTTAAGCTGCCGAGTTACAAACTCTTGATATTCAGACACAGCTACCCCTAATATTTAACGAGAAACTAGATGAAAGGCAACCAGTCAGTAGAATCCACCACTTATACTACTATTCTTTACCAAATAGCGGAACTGACTATCGCTTTTACAATATAAACGTTCAATGCATGTTCAGTAGCATATCACAGGTTCGAACCTTGGGCCTTCCATAACACCCTACGGCACACTAACCATTGGGTCACTTACGGTTGAAGAAAACATTAAAACCTGCTGAGTTGTTTTGAATTAACTAATAACTATAATATTAAAAGGTAGGGTTGAAGTGTGTGATACTTCGGTGAAATGTTACAGTTAATTTTATTCCATTCTCTGTTTGGTTGTGAAGTTAGCATAGTACAAGCCGTATATTCAAAATAATTGACATTAAAGTTAGTTAAAGCCGATTTAAAGTGAAATATGGCTCTTCTAAAGTAGAAAATAGTTTGTAAGCTATATAATAAGGTAAAAGGATACGGAACTTACCCACGTAGTTTCGAAACTGATAGAAAGCTTCAAATCCTGTTCCGTCAAATTTGCCATTGGATTTGAAAGCGACCCGAAAGAAATCTCCATCGGACTCAATAATTTTGGGTTTCTTCCCACCGCAGTGTCTCGGAATTTTCCTGTCCACTGTACGAAAGTTGGAGAATTCGACGAAGTCGCTAGCCAAGTCAGTTGTACACCTAATAGATTTGAGTTTTATAAATAAAATAAAATTGACAGAAATTGTTGTTTGTTATTAAGGACAAAGCTACACAAAGGGCTAACTGTGCTCTGCCCACCACGGGTATCGAAACACGGTTTCTAGCAGTATAAGACCGCAGACATACCACTGGGCCAATGGGGGCTTGATAGAAATATTCTGTTTTTAACCAGAGAATACTAGGGAAATGGAGTGCCTGTGGGATTGTATATATGAACGTTGTATGTTGTCACGTGAATTTCAATGAATATCAAGAAACGAATAAATATTCTTTTAAACACTTGTGCAGGAACTAAAAACCAAAAGAGTCTGCATTTATAAAAAGTCGGTTCCTCAATTTTATAAAATTATGCAATTTCTTTGTTGTTGACAAATATAAAACTATACTTAAAAATATATAACTATGTTACATGTGAGAAGCTTATTTTACTTCAACTTTATATGCATAAATTCCCATGAGAGGTGTAGAGGACAGAAGAATAGAGAAATGAACTTACGGTGAAACGCCCTCTACGTCAAAATAGGCAAAAGTCAGAGTAAGACGCTCACTTCCTTTTCCGTAAAAAAAATAATGACACTCTGTCGCTCGAGGATATAGACCCGGATAGTTAGGTGATGTAAATGTCCCGTTTGTTCTCACCGTACTATTAAAAATGAAGCCACACACTGAAAAAAAAAATTTAAAGAATATAAAGTTTTTGTTTTTTTACCTATACGCTTTACTAACTCTTATGTAGGGTGATTTTTTGAACTTCATAAATCTAATCTAATGTTCAAGTTTGAGATTTCTTAAAATTTACATAGCTTACGCAATCTTGTTGATATATTACATTTAGAAGTAAAGCTAAGAGCTGAATAGGATCTACCAAAAACATTTCACGCTGTTAAAGAAAGAAAAAGTCTTCCCTATTCTAGGGTTATCACAAGTTTGTCCTTTGCCAGTAGAAAAAATGTTTTATGATGACTAGAATTTTTTATAAGGCATATTCAATTTTTTGAATATGTACTTAGTAATTACATTTTATGAAAATACGCTTTTTCTTATAAAGAAATACGACACATCATTTATACTGAATATAAAACAGATTGTTTTGTTTGATTATTTGTTTTGTTTTGAATTTCGCGCAAAGTACACGAGGGCTATCTGCGCTAGCCGTCTCTAATTTAGCAGTGTAAGACTATAGGGTAGGCAGCTAGTCATCACCACCCACCGCCAACTCTTGGGCTACTCTTTTACCAACGAATAGTGGGATTGACCGTCACATTAGAATGCCTCCACGGCTGAAAGGGCGAGCATGTTTGGTAGAACAGGGATTCGAACCGCGATCCGCAAATTGCGAGTCGAGCGCTCTAACCACCTGGCCATGCCGGGCCATAAAACAGATATATGAGATAAGTTTTAGCTATGAAAAAACAAAATCACTGTTATAAACTCATCCCAAACATCTTTTTAGGTCATTTATATGCAGTCAAGCATGTGATAATTCGCCACGTGATCTGAAATTTAAATGATTGATTATTCAGTCTTCGGTCGAAAATGAATAGGACATTTGGTTGAGGTTACATCTTTGCATTTCGCGGCATTTCATATCAACATGAAATACGGTCACCACAGTCTGGCACTGACATTGCCTGCTTAAAATCAGCTTGTTAATAAGGACCTGCGATATCCTCGACTCCTCCTCCTCTGAAAGGTCAATTTCCAGAGTATTTCTAGAATCTGAAGTAATTTGACGAAATACGACACATTTTTCAAGGGCATACTTACATTTTCGATGAGACAAGTGAAAGTGCAGGCCACTTAATTTGTTTAATCTTATCTTCTTGAGGAATGTACCGACCAAATCTAGCATTGCATAGATGGGCTTTATCATTCCTTAGACTAAAGTCAGGACAATTGCACGGACATATGTCAAGACAGAAGGCCGAAAATGATGGTTCCTTTAATATTTGACCTTTAATAGCCCCATTCTACAGTTTGTAAAAAGCGATTCATCCATATTTCTACCCATTCATACTTCCAAACTGAGTATGTTTTTGTTTGGCTCCCGGGCAAAGTGCGGCTCACCTTTAAAAATATTTTGCTCTTTATGTAATTGATTCACTGATCGTATCTTTGCGAATGACATTTCTTGTGCCTTGTGGGGAACTGAATGACTTTCCATAGAAGTCTGGCATACATGCTGGCCTTGTGAAGTATTTTTCTAAGTGTTCTGTACACTGACATGGCGCCTAGTTGCTGGTGCAACATTTGATTCAGTCTCAAAGTAGGTAAACTATGATTGCAGTGAGCCAAAATTAACACACAATGGCTGTCTACATGTGCAGCGGATGACACTCTGCCTTATCCAAATATCTAAACAACTGTATCTTTGGTTTATAAGTGGGTTCAAACTCTGTTAGTAAGAATTTGAAACATTAGAAGCCAACTCCTATTCGTCTAGTTTCTCTCCACATGAATGAAACATCCAAAGATGTTCTTTTGGAATTAGTCATGGTTCATGAACAATGTGGAGTAATCAAACATCTGTAATTAATTTGAAATTGACAGCTAAGACAAGATTATATAAGACTAATGTGACTAAAATAGGCCGAAGTACTAATAATGGCAATTTTAGACTATATGACTGATCATCCGTCATCCGACTTGAAGGCAGGGTTGCCAACCTTACAGTTTAGTTTCTGTGACATACAAACAAACAGTGAGCCTTTTTTACTGACATCATTAAAAGAAAACATATTTTCTATTTATAGGCTTATGAGCAGTGTTAGCATATATGTGTGTATGTACACACACACACATATATATATATTTTACTGACTGTCCGTTTGCAACCCTGTTAGACGGGTGCTTTATTTAACATTTATTTACATTTTGTAACAGTCGTTTTAGCCTTATCATAACCATAATACTACAAATTCCGATTATCTTTTATTTTTAAGGCAGTGCAGTTTAAAGAAAGTGCATTTTTGTGCTTATAAGTTTATAAAACTCAAGTCGATTTTAATCTCATAGTTTAGTTGGACCATAAGATTATTTTATGTGGTAGGAACAACAAGGTGAGTAACTCGTTCATGCCATTCAGTTTCAAATTACCTAAATGTGGGGGAATTTTACTTTATAGAGATTTTTGTTCATTTCTGTTCGTGAGAATAAAAGGAAAAACAATATATTGCTAGTGAATGCTAAAATGTTTCATTAGTATTAAATGGGTTACTAGACAATATCAGCTAAGGTGCTCTACTTAATCTGAATACTTCAGATATTTTTGAAGTTTAACAGATAGCACATTTAAAATAGTTTTATTTCAACGTATACATCATTTTAATGCACCATCTTATGGTCATTGTTTCATATCATATTAAAAGTGGGGGTACATTTTCTAGACAGTGCTTACCAAAATAGGCAGAAAAAAGGAATTAACTATACATCGAATTTTAGCGCGACACATCAGTGACGCTGGACTTAAAGATTATGAGGCTTTTGCCAATACAAGAGGCAATTTAAACCCCAAACACGCTTAATCTATAGTTTTGTGTTTTATTTTATTGTTTTGTATTTTTAATTCATTGGTTTTTATTGAGCTACCGATGGTATTTATAAACATGCTTAATTTGGTATTTTATTTATGAGGCGCTCATTAGTATTTGTATTCTCATTTTATTATTACCTAACAATTGTATCATTATTAGTTAATGTTTCAGTACAGTAATTTATTCAGGAAATATTATATCTATTACATAGCTGCTTGAATATCTTGAAACTCATAATATTCGTCTTCACTCATTAACTTTGGTTTAGTTTGCTAAATACATAGTATGAATAGGTTCATGTCTAAGTTTATAATAGAATGTTAGATACTTTGGATATTCTTTTCTGATGTCTTTCCTACTATTGGCCATTATTCTTAGTATATAAGTCATCTAGCTTCAATCAATCTATTTCATTGAGATATCAGACTGTAAACGTCTATACTTGTTTCTGTTTTCGTAGCATTAGTTAGGGCTCGGAGATACGAGTCAAATCAGTGATTATTTTTTGTAAGAGCCCTTTTGTCTCCAATATCTAATTTTACATTACACTTTTTTTCTGAAAATCAAAATATTCTTCAGAGTTATCAGTGTTTCTGGAGTTATCATCACTTGGATCTTCAGCAGCAATTTCTCCTATTTTAGAACCGTATTCACTGAAACTCAACATAAGTATACTTCTTTCAGTGGTGTTGTCTTCTTTTTGAATATGATTCTCAATGAATGTTTCTTCCTCTTCTTCCATTCCATGGATAATTTCTGTGTCTTTCACAGTTACGTTTCTGATAAACTGCTTCATATACCTTTGAAATTGGTATCATTGTAGGAAGATGTATATTTACTTAGGCCAATGTCAACGAGTCACTTTTATGTTTCTACATTGATAAATCTTTTCATTGGCCGCACTTTCCAAGATGCTGAAATCGTTGGTTGTAATTCTAATGTCACAGTCTTGCAAACAGTGACAAAGACCGGCCGACTGATTATATAGAGTATTGTGCGCTTGCTCTTTAATTCTTGAGCTCAGACAACTGAGCCAACATAGCCATGGCTACACCTTGGACATATAAATTTGTAGATGACATCCCATCAAGTCGTTTATAATGACAACCATTTGGTGACAAATTCTAATAACTTATTAAAACAGGTTTTGTTATACCACTAACAACGTCAGAATTTCGAAAAATTAAATTACTACATAACTCTCTTTTCTTTAACAGTAAATTAGTAAATAAAGACCCAATGTCTAGACTAGCAATATGGACACTTATTGTGTATTTATAATGAATGAGCCACGAACATATTTGAGCATTCAAAACCTGCTCAAACTGATTTTCAGAAAATCTATTTCTCATTGACTTGAATTTCTAATATAATTGTGAAAAACCAGGATGTCATTATCAGTTGTATATAGTTTAGTCATCATAAACCATGAGATGTCTGAGCTGTTAGCCGGAAGTGAGATAATCTGAATGCTATTTGTATTCATGCTGTAATCATTAATTGATATTCGTCGCTAGTCTTGGCGATTTATTAGTTAATGATTAAAATATTTAGTAAATATTACTTGTGAAGAAATTTCTTCATTTAAATATTATAATTATTATCTTCGAGAGATGTAATAATTAAAGATAAGAGCTTTTTCAATTGAGTCTTGGCGGGGAGATTGTGTGTTAGCTGGTTTTGCCTGGTAAACTATTCACTATAATTATTGAATACTAGCGAAAGTATCCAACTTCACTCGGGTTATTAGGTTGATATGTTCTAGATAACTATAAAAGTGTGTGTATTCTGAAACTATTTTAGCAACCTGCAGGTGGACATAGTCTTCAACTCGGAGCTTCTTTTAGTTTATCGCAGCCTTTCTGTTTCGATTTTGGCACACATTACGAGTTGCCCGTTATGATTTTAGTGACGGGGTGCAAGGGGGGCGTGAAACCATGTAAGTTTAGTGAATGCTGGTATGAGTTAAAGTAATTATTAAATAAGCCTAAAGTAAATACATAGTGTGAGATAACCTAGCCTAGAGCCAAGTGCATAAAGTTTATCATGAAAGTAAAAATATCAATCTAATTTTAAACTTAAATCGTTTCAGAATTAAGGTATTTTCTGTTATATCACCACAGTTTTTGATAAAAACAAACCTCTTTAATCAACGGAGATTCTAAATTAAGCAATCAACAAATGTTTTTCCAGTTTTGTTGTTTATAAATTTCATTTTATACTTTCAGTACATAGATCAACAACATTATTGGGTTATAGTTTTGTTGCTAAGCAACATGAAATAAAGGCCATTGTTCGAACGCATTGTAATCAAAACGCAGTGGATTTTCTATATATTATAAGTTGTTAATCTAATTGATATACTACAGGGTATGCTATGGGATGGTTGTACTTGCCTCGTCATTTTTGACAGGTTATACGACTATAACAAAAGAACGTGTTTTTCTATATATTTGTAATCTAAGGAACCACTTTTTTCTATGTGTTTTTCGCTAGCTTGCCTCATTAAAAAAGACACGCACACGCATGAGCGCACGCACGTGGATAAAATAGTAATAACACCCAAGTGCACGCT